AAAAAAAATTTATAAAACTGGGATGCTTGAATGTGGGTGGATGTAGTGCGGATGATAAGAAAGAGATGATTGCTGATGTTATGAATGAAAAGAAGTTGGATGTCCTGGCCCTAAGCAAAACAAAGCTGAAGGGTGTAGGCAAGTTTCAGTGGGGAGAAATAAATGGGATTAAGCCAGGAGTAGCTGAGAAAGTTAGAACTAAGGAAGGGATAGCAATAATGTTGAAGGACCAATTATGTAAGGAGAAGAGGGAATCTAAATGTGTAAATTCAAAGATTATGTGGATTAAAATCAAATCAAATCAAATCAAGTTTATTCTCTATAAGGGTTACAATGTGGGGTTTACAAGATTTGGATATTGTGTGGTTTACATGTTATAAAATACTAATTACAGAGGGGGGCCACTAGGACACCTAGCATGGCTAGGCATTTCAGGCAGACTTAGATTAATTCTTAACATTAAATCCTTACAGATTATGGTACTAAGGCTAGGTGACTACATTATAATTTGTGAGTTTAGCAATGTGAATGCTTTTGTTTTGGCACAATACAAAGTGTCTATACTGGAGTATCATAGGCAAACTTATGACTAGCTAGGATTCATTATTTTAAGATTAAGATTAGCATTTCTGTGTTTATAGTCAGTGGGTGAGTGAGTGTAATTGTGAACCGCCAGGTGGTTATCATGTAGTTAGATGTCGGGGTGTATCAGGGAGATAAGATGTTTTCTAACTGAGGTTTTGAAAGTGATGAGTGTGTCTGCAGTTCTAGAGTTTTCAGGTAGGATGTTCCAGATTTTAGGTCCTTTGAAATACATTGAATTTTTGTAAAAGTTTAGTCAGACACAGGGAATGTCATAGAGATGTTTGTGTCTGGTGTTATGCCTGTGGATCCTGTCACAACTATCAAGAAAGAGTTTTAGGTCAAGGTTAATATTGGAATTTAAGGTCCTGTAGATATAGATTGCACAGTAGCAAGTGTGGATGTTCTGAACAGGGAGTAAGTTTAGATTTATGAAGAGTGGAGGGGGGGGTGTTTCCAGGGATGGGATTTAGTGATTATTCTTACTGCAGCTTTTTGTTGGGTTATTATTGGCTTTAGGTGTGTTGTTGCATTTGAACCCCAAGCACAGATAGCATAGGTGAGGTATGGATATAAGGGTCGGATGTGAAAAATGGGTCATAATAAGCGTGTATGCACCTGGAGAAGAGAGGAGTGTAGAGGAGAAAGAGAGATTTTGGGAGATGTTAAGCAAATGTATAGGAACCTTTGATCCAAGTGAGAGAGTAACTGTGGTAGGGGACCTAAATGCTAAAGTAGGAGAAACATTTAGAGAGGGTGTGGCAGGTAAGTTTGGGGTGCCAGGTGTAAATGAATTATTAATGGGAGCCCTTTGACTGAACTTTGTATAGAAAGGGGTTTAGTTATAAGTAATACATATTTTAAGAAAAAGAGGATAAATAAGTATACAAGATATGATGTAGGACATAATGACAGTAGTTTGTTGGACTATGTATGTATTGGTAGATAAAAGACTGTTGAGTAGGCTTCAGGATGTACATATTATAGAGGGGCCACAGATATATCAGATCACTTTCTTGTTGTAGCTACAGCAAGAGTAAATGGTAGATGGGATACAAGGAAAACTAAAAGGGGAGGCAGTTAGGGTAAGATATAAACAACTATTGGAGGATAGATGGGCTAATGAGAGTATAGGCAATGGGGTCAAAGATGTATGGGATAGGTTTAAGAATGTAGTGTTAGAGTGTTCAGCAGAAGTTTGTGGTTACAGGAAAGTGGGTGCAGGAGGGAAGAAGAGTGATTGGTGAAATTATGATGTAAAGAGAGTAGTAAGGGAGAAAAAGTTATCATATGAGAGGTTTTCACAAAGTAGAAGTGATACAAGGAGGGAAGAGTACATGGAGAGAAAAAGAGAGGTTAAGAGAGTGGTGAAGCAATGTAAAAAGAGAGCAAATGAGAGTGGGTGAGGTGTTATCAACAAATTTTGTTGAAAATAAGAAAAAGTTTTGCAGTGAGATTAATAAGTTGAGGAAGCCTAAAGAACAAATGGATTTGACAGTTAACACTTTCAGGGTCCCCAGGCCCTCTCCCAGACTTGTTCTCAGGGTCACCCAAATTTAAAAAAAAAATTTTTTTTTTCTTATGAAAAGATAATCTTTTCCCAATCATAATGACAGCAAAAGTATGAAATTTGATGGAATACTTACGGAATTATGCTCTCGCGAATTAGTGGTCTCGACGATGTTTATGCATCTACGA